TACGCGCACCGACCTTGCTGATGCAAGAGCATCTCGAGAACATCTTGTCTCTCTATGCTACACGACACGTGTTTCTTTCTTGCTCTTTGACGGGCTGCCATGCATAAACGACCGGCGGATCCGCGAAGGGTGCGCTCGTAGTTCATTATGAGTTCGCGTTGACATTGTTTGCACAAAGAAGAGGTAACCCAAAACTCGGATGGTGCCAGGAAGCGGCCACAAGAGTTGCATGGAAGTTCACCTGCGTCGTTCGGCCATCTTCGTGCGCCTCGGTTCCAAGATCTCCGTTGCTGCGGTTGTTGGGCTGCAGCTACAAGGTCTGCCAGCCGCCCCAAGTAATTCTGGGGAGGAGTTGCTTTTGCCATTGCCACTTCGTCCGGCCATTCGCGGTGAAGGAGCAGATGAGAAGAGGCACTGGAAGTAATCACTTGCCTGGCTTGTCGACGAAACGCCGCCGCCGTCCATGTCCGTAGCCCACACTCGGGCCAGCAGATCATGCGCTTCGACTCTGCATGCGCCTCCCCGCTTGCAAGCGGTCAAAGGCTCGAGAGACAGCGGCTTCAAGCACCGACAGATTAACCAGAATCAGAACCAACAGCCCATGAAGCGCTGCATGAAAAAAGGAAGCACTGTGTGAACATGTCAAAGCACGTAGATTGGATTTGAATAGATCCTAAAACTAAAAGTCCAAAGTATATTGAACCTGAAGAGGCAATGCCTTGACGGCCACCAGCTGCAGCAGCGGGTCATCCGTTGGTGCATCCCCAAGGAGCTGGCGATGGCATGGGATTTTGGGTTTGGGGATTTGGTTTTTAGGGTCCAGGCGGTTTCACATTTGAGCTATAGGCTTTGAGGTTGTAGGACCGAGGTGATGGGTTTGGGAGGATTAGAGGTGAGAGTTTACGCGTGAGGGCTACGGGTTTTCAAGTCTAAGGTTTTGTAGATATTGGCAGCACGGACTTAGGTTACATGCAGGGCTCTTGAAGGCGGTCCAGCCTAGGGTCTATGCGGATCTCGGGCATCCCTCAACCACCCTCCAAAAAACACGCACACACACACACAAATCACACAAAAAAACAAACAAAACAAAACCGTTAACTCCCGCAACCCTCACCCCGAAAGCCTAAACCCTAAAGCCCAAACTCAGCAAATCCATGGCCTTCCCCAGCTTCTCCACCGCCGGCGTCGAGCCCGTCAGGCGTGGCGTGCACTCCTCGAGTCGAAAGGGATGTTTAAAGGTTGGAGAGGGTGGTAGGATCGGGATTTCAGGGTTCAGGAATCGTTCTCGTTGTTAGGCACCCCGTCGGAGGTGCTCTGGGGCATCGAGTTGGATGGGACATGCGGCATCCTCCGTAGGTGCAAAAGCAATGGTTGGAGCTCAAGATGGCTCAGGGATTGGTACACCTCCCCCCTGCGTTTCGCGTGGGAATCCCCAGTCTCTCCTCTCAGAGCCCTGATTTGTGCAAAGGCGAGTTGTCGGGTCGCACACCTGGGAGTTCCCACCGCCCCAAATGCCACGAAGTCGGCTCCTGGAAACTGAGGGTGTTTATTGTGGTCTATGGCTTTGTTGGGAATAAGAACCCATCATTCGAGTTCAGTTTTTGTCTAGCCTCTGACAAAACGCAGAACAGCTCAATCGAAGCCATGTGCCCCCTACAATACAACCCCAAACTCATAATTCACAAACATTGAAATATCGAATCCAGAAGCCCGCGAGCCACGAAACCCTGCAACCTGCACGTACGAGATCAACCCTACTGGAGCCAGAAGCTTTCCACAACGAACTCGGCCCTAGCGATTTTGAGCTTTCCGGCCATGTTGGGCAACCAGAAAAAAACCACCGAATGACCTGAAGTTTATACCCTGAGATTAGAAGCCCTCAGCTACTACACAACACTCGAATCTCAGGCAGGCACCGGGTCGGCAGCTAGGTTGACAAGCGCACCGCAGGAATAGAACCTGGCACTCCAAGTCTGAAGAATCCCGGTAGCTCTGCCTTGGACTCCTTGTGGGGTTGGCCCAAACCCTGACAGTCTTGAGGTGTCTCTGTCCGATGCAGCAAGCTGTCTCGTGCATAGCTGCGCCTTGGCAGTCGCCAACAAAGATACAGTTTTGGACAGGGGGTCTGAGGTATAATGTACGCCAAGCCAAGTGCAGGCTTCATACTTAACCCCCCAAAGCTGGGGTTACCGACATATTGCTTTTGGACACTCTCCCTGAACTCTTGCTCTTATGACCCCGAAGTCGGGGGACACATTGGCCCAAAGTCCCACCCATCCCCCCCATTCCGGGAAATTGGTTGGGATTCTCCAACCAACGTCCTCTCGCATCTGCGAGATGGTCGCGTGCACCATCGAATTTCGCCAAAATGGTCAGAAAGGCGACCAAACTTCCGGCCTCGGAAAGAGCAGGGCTTCCGTGGTCGTAGGTACCAAGTTTACGTCAAGTTTAAGTCATAGGCCCCCAAAGCGTTTAAGCCTTGCTTCTGAAGATTTGCCGGGTTTCCTTTGTCTTCGATGACAAAATCCCAGGCCGCAAAAGTGGTTTTATTCCAAGCCACAAAACCCCGCACTGGGAATCCAGAAACTCGACTCTTTGCGTTCTTGCTTGCATCCGTGGTTTCGCGCTTATAAAACACATAACTCAAGCTTCTTGTTTAGGCTTTCGGCCCTGAGGTCTGCCCGAAACCTCACGAACCCAACCTCCATGAATTGCGTAAACCAGTAGTAATGCAGCCCCGCGGCTATAAACCCCAAGCTTGTAGGCCCTAAGCCCTAAACCCTAAACCCTAAACCGTCCATGTACCATGTTCTTTTGAAGTGTGGCTTCACAGGCAAAACCACGCATCTGAATCCAGCTCCATGACCTGATGAACTATACCTGGACCCTAAAATGAAACAGCCTACCTTCTTCAAGGACTGACATCACGGAAATTATGATCAGGAGTCCCCAAAAAGAGGGGTAGGCAATTTAGGGGCTTAAGGTTCCAAGTGCCCCTTGATGGAGCCCTTATGGTCCTTACCAGTGGGTATTTATAGACCTCATTAAACCCTAAACCCTAAACCCCTAAACCGCTAAACCCGAAACCCTAAACCCTAAACGCCCTAAACCCTAAAAGCACCAAACCCTAAAAGCCCCAAACCCTCCCTAAGCAATGTAGGGGAAGGTTCTGGCAGAGTCAACTCTGAGAGCAGCGCTTCTGCCGTCGTTTATTGCGCCTCCGTCAAGCTTTGCATCGGGGCGTGCCTTGGCCAAAGGGGTCTGAAAGGGGGGCTTTAAAGGGGGGCTCAAAGGGAGTGTCTGTAAAAGTCTCTCCATATTCAGGATCCTACTACGTAGGATGTCTGTAAGTTAAAGGAAACTACAGGTGGGGAGTTTAGGGTATATAGGGCTTCTATAAGGCGTCTCTAAGGTATATAGACCTTCTGTAAGGCTCCTATAACAGTAACTACCCACCTGAACAGGTCCGACTGGTAGAGTGTCTGCAAGTCTCCCCATATTCAGGATCCTACTACGTAGGATTTTTGTAAATCTTCTTATGCTCTGCTCGGGATCCTACTACGTAGGATTTCTACTCCACCAAACCCGAAACCCTAAACCCCTAAACCCTAAACCCCCTAAACCCTCTAAGCCTTAAGCCCTAAACCCTATAAGCCCTAAGCACTAAACCCTATAAGCCCTAAACCCCTACACCTCGAGATCAGAGCTCTGGGTTGCCGGACGCCTTGTTTGGGGTACTTGGGTCGTGGTCGCCGAAGCCGCCGCCCTCGGTGAAGGCCTGCGAGCACCGGTGCGCTTTTCAGGGCTCAAGGGCTTTCTATCCCTCTACACGTTTGACCCACCAAATAATCTACAACCTTGGAGCTTCTTGTAGTGATTTTTTTACATCAGTATACATAAATAAATAAGTAAATAAAAGCTATCCTTAGACATGAAGTTGGCCTCGTCCGTCTTCGAGTAGCCGGGCATGAGGCACTGGAACAGGCTCGTCGCCTGCTTCGGGGTTTGGATATATAGTGACTTAGTAACTTCACATAGGGGCGCTTTAGGGCTTAGGGCCTTTAGGACTTAGGGCTTTAGGGCTTTAGGGTTTAGGCTTTAGGGTTTAGGGTTTAGCGGTTTAGGGTTTAGGGTTTAGTTAAAGGAAACTACCGGTGGGGAGTTTAGGGTATATAGGGCTTCTATAAGGCTTTGTTGTTGGTCAGAGCTATTCATCATGACCTCGTTGGGGTTTTCGCTTGATGCCATGGTAGAGGTTCTGCAAGTAGACCACGACTTACTATATGTTCAGTCGGGCAGGATCAATCGGCCATGGGCTTACTACAAGCTTCGAATTTTCAACACACGTCAGCAAGTCACAAATGTGTTAGAAGAATCTGTACACTTCTCGATTTGTGCTTGTTTCTGCACTTGCATGCCTAGTGCCTGTATGCCAATCGGCATGCTGTGTTTGCCTTAAGGCATTCATGACGAAGCTCGGCTTCAATCCTTCTGCCCTCAGGGCTTGAGATAAACATGTCGAAATCAAGATTTGCGGAAGAGGAACTCGACTCTACCTCTGCGGGGTAAAGGAATTCTGCACTCCTCCTTAGACGCATCATTCTTTTAGAATGGAAGTCTATCGTAGCCCCCTTTGCCGCAGGGTCATCAAGCAGTACCTACAGAACGTCCGACGGTGTGTAGTCTGGATAGTTCTCAACACGTGGCAATCGGGGAATATATGAAGGACACCTGGTGTCCTTGCGCTACTAGTGATCACTTCAAGTTCACATAACTGCATGTCTGACAGGCCCGTTGGCCCTTCAGTCTGTACACCTATTTCCCTCGAGTTCTGGACTCGTCTCAGCTCCGCACCTCTACGTTCAGAAACTCTAGTTTCAGGTGGAGGCGGTGGAGGATCGGGAATTGGTGGAGTAGGAGGACGCCGTAAAGTCCACAAGGAACGATAAGGTTGAGACGAAGATGCTGCCTCTTGTGTAACGGTCTCTGATACAGGGGGCGTAGAGACGTGGAGGTGGACGTGAGAGGTAGCCTGCGATGTCGGGTTTCCGGGTGGATGCACTACCTCCTCAGAAGGCAGTGCTGTCGGTCCTGTGGACATGCTGGTGCTCCCAGTGGTCTCACGCTCAATTGCTCTCCTCACAGCTTCTTGTCTTCGGGTCCTCCGAGTCGATTCATCATCAACTCTCAAGCTAGCAACATGTGGCCGTTGCTCGTAAAGGCATTGCTTCAGGCAGTGCTTTCCGAGCTCCCATACGAACAACACTGAGCAAGCCATCATGACCGCTACAACATACAAATCTATGTCAACCTGTTCAGCTTCTTCCTCCTCCTGCGACGCGGCCGGCTGGAGTTGCAACATCAACAAAGCCAAGACTAGCATCATGCCCTGACCCTCAGCTGGGTCCATGGTCCTGAAGGTCCTTGATGCAGCGGTCACCGCATGCACAGAAGGATCTCCTCGCACTGGATTGGCTACACCTAGGTGTTCGTTGAGGTATTCAAGCCTCGGCGCAGGGAGGGCCTTAGTTAGGGCATCTGCTATCTGATCTTCCCCTGGGCAGTGTTTAACTTGTAGCCTGGAGTCATCAATCATCTCCTTGAGGAAGTTTGCCCTTACCCTAAGGTGGCGTGTGCGGTGTGAGCCGCCCCCTTCAACTAGGGTTATTGCGGCAACATTATCAACCCTTAGAGTTATCTCTATATCTGCATCTATCAATTCAGCTGCAAGTGCTTGCACAGACTGTGCTAGCACTGTTCCTTCGCACGCTGCAATTAATTCGCTTTCTGCGGTGCTTAAGCTGACGATGCTTTGACGTTTGGATTTCCAGAAGACACTCTGGCCGGCTAGCTGAACTACGATTCCAGATATCGATCTTTCACTGTAGGGAGCAAAGGAGGCGTCAGTAAATACGTCCAGTCCCTGGCAATTGGCTGGGGTGAGGTTGAAGCGCATCATCTTAGTATTGGCGAGGTACGCTAAGATTCTCAACCCAATCTTCGCTACGAAGGACGGAGACTTAGTGACCCAACTCGACATCAAGCCGACTCCGAAGGCTATATCTATCCTCGTCCTTTGTGGTATCCAGAGTAGCTCTCCGGTTATCTTCTGGGCAGACCTCAATGCCTCCTCGGAATACCCCTTTTCTTCTGGGGGCGCCTCTCGGACCCATTCTTTAAGTACGGGCACTGTGGCTCTACAAGTCTGGGCAAGGTTGTGGCTCCTCATTAGCTCGTCTATATACCCTTCTTGCCCTAGACTAAACCCAACTACGCCGTCTTGGTCTCGGACCTCAAATATATCGATTCCAAGGAATCTCAGTGCTTTGTGAGGCTGTGCTCTTTCAAGCTCTGAACACTGCCATCGCTGTCTAATCCAATCATGCAGAGCTGCAGCTACGGAGGGGCTGGAGAGGATTAACAGATCGTCTACATAAACGAGTACATGCCCTATCACAGTTTTCTCACCTACAATTACCTTCCAAAGGTTTTCGTCACTAACCGTTCTCTCAAGTCTGGCTTCTCCAGAACAAGTTTGGAAAACTGCTTCTGAAAGGACCTGGTCACGATATTGTGCCCACCATTTGGGGGCTTCTTTAAATCCGTAAAGCGCCTTACAAACTTCCCAGAGCTCCTCTTGTGAACAGATGCCTAAAAGGACTAGAATGGCAGGTGGCCTTAAGGCATAATGTCGTGTGGAGGTGGCTGGTATAGGCGCCAACAGAAATGCATTCTTGATGTCGGTGGACCAGGCAGAGTGCCTGAGGTGTCCAGAACGCACTAAGATGGCACGTAGTGTTTCTGCTGCTGCGCCTGAGGCATATAACACATCTTCAGACACGCCCTTGGCGTAATTCCCGCAGCTTACGACCCTCACTTTTCTCCTGAACGGGCGGCCTGGTTTGACAGTGAAGACGCACTTGGCTGGTAAAATCTCAATCTCCTTTCCTTGTGAGATCCTCCTTGCTGCTGCTCCGTAGTGGCGCCGAATTGCGCCCATGTTGATCAACGAGTCCAGCTCATCCTGTGCAGGGCCCTTCCATTTATCGAGATGCTGCCTCACCTCCGCAGGGGAGACTTGATGCACAACCTCTAATGGACTAGAGAGGTTAGTCAGGAGCTCTTCTACGTTGGTAGTGTATGAATTCTCTACTACCTTCGCAGCCTTAGCTTCCTTAACCCTGGCTGGTGCAACGGTGGCGTCAGCAGTGACGACCTCAGGAAAATGCACCCCGAACTGTGGTTGATCCTGCACAGAGCTATATACTTGATCTAACGAAACTCCACATGACAAGGGATCTATTCCTTTCTTACCCCTTTCTATACTACCTTGTCCCGTATTGGAAGAGCACGAGCTCAATTGCACGACCCTTATGCACGGTTCATCTTTATCATCGGGGTAGCCTAAACCAGGGGGGTATCGGAGTTCCCTTTGCGAGGAATCAGCGGTTGCACCGAACGACTGCTCAACAGGCTCGCTGGTCTGCTCAGGAGCGCTCACTGCAGCTACGGTGGGAATCCACTCATCCTCCCAGTAGTGTGATGCCGGCTCGTAAGGATCAGGATGCGCGTAGGCAGTCGCATAGCTTGGCACACCGGTGGTGCTAGTGGGTGGCAACTCTGAGCCCGGCACACTCCCTTGATCAAAAGAGGCACTGGTTGTCAAGCTACCAGATGCACCTACTGAGAAGGCAGGTTGCCTCCAATCATGCTGCAAGCTCACCTGATTCGGGAACTCATGGCCCGAGGAGCTGCTTGACGCACCAACGGGGTTGTTGGGCTTCCGGCGATCATTCTGAAGGCTCACCTGACCAGAGGGCGTATGGCTCGAGGAGCTGCTCGAGGCTTCAGGGTTGTGATGATCCGGCCACTCATCTTCCCAGTAGTGGACAGGGTAATAATTGGTGGCTGAAGACCTCCCTACCGAGCCTCTCGGTTCCTCCGGCACAGAGTCAAGTTCGTGCCAACGCTTGCTCGAATCTGTGTTCTGAGGTTGATTGGTACGGACTCCTAGATTAGGCAAAGGAGGGCCTGGGCTTCGCTCAGCTAGGGTCCGGTTTTGCATGACCCACGGAATTTGTTGGCTGTCTCTATCATACAGCCTCACTTCACCCGTCCTTAGTCCGCTATTGTTAGGGTTATCGGGCCTACGCGTGCCAGATGGATGCACCCCAAACATCACCCTCTCTGCCTCCCACCTTGTCAAGCCGAATTCGATTAGATCCTCAGGATAAAGGTAGATTAGATCTTCGGGTTCTTCAACCCCTAGCCTGCGCAGCTCGGCCTGAAGGTATACAATGTCCCTCTGCCACAGGAACAAATGTAAATCGCTCGGAAGAGTGTCGGCATTTGGTGAATTGCGGGTGGCTCCTTCGGAGAGGTCCCATCCAACAAGTTGGGTATTGGAGTCGGGCTGCTCATCTGGTCCTAGAGGTCCTCTATCCCATGGTGGTGGACCATCATCCTCCTCCTGAGTTGGGCTTTCCCAGGGGGGTCTAGGGTAGTCATCATCTTTGGGTTGATTCTGCCTTATAACCTTAACCTGGCACTCACCATCAGGCATGGTTGGCAAGGAAAATCCACAACTCGTCAACAGGCTTCTATCAACCTCTCTAAGCTTATGTACCCCTAATGGAGAGTACCCGACGATCACCCAGTCTGGCGATCGTCGCACGGCATGATGGCATCGGGGATCAAAGGACTTCACCTCATCAGTGAGCACGGCAACATCTGCAGAGTTCCAATCGGGAACAAGTGCAGATTCCTCTGATTTTCCTTTATGCGGCGGTCCTTTCCACAACTCAGTGACCCCTGGCACGCAAAGTGCGAAATTTCTGGTCTTCCACTCGTTCCTGTAGTCCCGATGAATTGGAACGTCTGAGGCATGTACCAGAAGAATTGTAGCCCACTCTGCAGGATACTCAGGTTCTCGAGTATGGGCTTTCAAGAACTTATTGAGGTAGAGGGTAAGCTTAGGGTACGACTTACACAGGGTCGTGACGCCTCTCTGGCCTCCATGCCCATATGCCCCTAATATGAAGCGGCCTTGGAGTTCACCTCTCCGGTCTGCGGTTGGCAGCTCACGACCCTCAAGCGCGGTCACCAGCCTACGGAAATGTTCGTTCGAGAAGTTATCGTCTAGTAACCCAATCTTAGCTAAGCTTTCTGGATGATCGTCATCCAGACCTCCCTCTACGAATCGTACCGTGGTCTTCTCTCGCAGACGGCGCTCTGGGGAGACTAGCGGCAACTCCCCATCAGGAATGAGCTCCTCCTCCTCTGAGGGTGCTTCATTTTCCTGCAAAGGAGGGGGCTGTGCTTCCTTCAAAGCTTCGGCATCTATCACCCCAGTGCGAAATCCCCTTGAGGCTACCAAATTACCTTCTTGGGTGAAGAGTACATGGCCGTCAGTGACCGTCAAGTACGGTGCGCCATACTTGGTTTTCACCCACCTAGTTATCAGCTCTTTGTGACCTCCCGCGGGCTTCTTAAGCTTGTGCAGGACTACTTGGCCAAACGCGGGTAGCGATTCCTGCAAGAGCACAGTACGGTTGTGAGCTTCAGCCGCCCATCGCATAGCTACTGGCCAGTATGACGCCGGCAGGTCATTCGCAGCTAGAAGCGTCCTAGCCCTAGACTTAAACCATCCCACTACGCGCTCTGCGAGGCCGTTGCCTTGCTTATCAGTCGGTATCGTGGTTTGCAGTTTTACTCCTTGCCCAGGAAGCCACTTCGTAAGGGCTTCTGAAGTACACTCTGTTCCTGGGTCGCAGTGGAGCACACGAAGAGGGAATCGCTGTGTGATCTTAAGTACTAGCTGCTGAATTCCGGCTGTCACGTCGGGGCCAGTCTTGGACTTCAAACCCACGAAGAATCTCAAAGTCACCATTTCAATGCGGGTTGTGGCTTCCTTGAGAGCAACATCGAGACCTTCATCATCAATCCATTCATAGGTTTCATCTCCATAGGTCTCAACAGGATCACCCTCATCATCACCCGGTTTAGCGAGAGCTTCAACAGCTTCTACTGCGTAGCCGGGCGGCGGCTCAGTTGCACATTCTACCTCTTCTGCTAGGTCACCTAACAAACCATCCCCAAAGTCTATTCCCGGTTCGGAAGGAACATACTCCTCTGGCAATCCAGGCAACTCATCAAACGGGTTGGCTTGCTGCGCGTCCTCCTCAGGTGCGGACTCTGGAGGGGAAAACTTGGTGGTTATCATCGACTTCGGCATTCGGTATACCCCGATCAGTCCGAACTTCAAGTGAGGGTTGCCAGAAACCGACTGTTCGTCTCTTCCTCGTTCTGTAGGGGGAACTGGTCCGAAGAGGTCAACCGAAAGTGTAAATGCTTGGGGATTCTTCACACGCCTATGTTGAACCCCAAGGCCAGAGCCCTCTATACAAAATTGACAGTCGCGTCGATATGGTAAATGCCCTCTCATGATGTGCGCTCTCCAAGCCTCAAGCTCGGCTGGTTTCACAGCATTCACTTCTGTGTTCACCTGAGGAGTGCTGGGATCAGAATTCAAATAGGCATCCTTCCCATTATCCCTAGGGGTCGACGGCCCAGAGGACATAGTCTCACTCGACTCTATTTCCTTCTTTAAACCACGGGTGATAGTGGCATCTAAGTCGTCTATGGAAGGGCCCTTTACCTTCCCATCCAAAGCTTCTACAATCTCCTTTTTAAACCCTATGCACCATCTACTTGCATTGCCTGGGTCTCCTCTGGGAGTAGGGTTAGGCTTTCCTGCAGGGGGAAGCCCTTGCAGGTGACTCAGTGCTAGGTTTGTGCCGATTATGGATGGACGGAGCCACTCATGTCCCAACGAGCCTTGGCAGAAATTAATGGTTCGCACCCTGGCCCATTGTTGAAATGAGCTCCACACTTCTGTCTTCCAAAAGGACTCTGGCCTCACAGCCTGATCGCCTTGTCTTGCGAGAGGAGCGGATGCTATAACTTCCTTCAAGAAAGGTATCGCACAACCTCTTGCTACAGACGCGATAGACCACAAAATCATATCTTGAACGGCCAACAAATTTTCCTTGAACACCAGGTCATCGGTGGTGGAGAGACCCCAGGGGTCCTTGGGCTGTCGGGCGTTGACGGTATCCTCTGACGAATGCCAAGTGCGATACGGAGGTGAAGATAAGAGCGTGACGACTCTTCCCTGCGCTGCGGCCCATAGCAAAACGGACCACACTCCTCCCTCGGCGCTTAGATCCCAACCTTTCCCGCCAGGCTCCTGAACATCTACCCCAAGGTACTCAAGATTTCTGCCATGGGCCCACTGCTTTAGTGGGTCTGAATCGGCAATTGAACCTGAGCACAACGAAACAACCCAGCCCCGTGAAGTGTGCAATGCCCTCCTTCGGGCCCTGCTCAACGGCAACCTCTTCAACAACTGCCATCCATGACTGTCAGTCAGTCCCGGCAGCTCTTCGCACAGTTTCACCTTTACTGCTTCAGGCACTGAACCCAGATATGGCTGGGCGAATACCACACGTAGAAGTTGTGCACGACTCCCGCTGTTAATATATTTCTGAATAGATTCCGTTGGGTCAACAGGTGTCGAAAGCTGATGTAATTCAGCTTGCATAGCCTGCACGCTTTGCTCAAATTCACGCAGCTTCTTAGCCTCAAGCTCAGCTATAAGGCTTAGTGCTTGATCTTCTTGGACGTAAGGGCAGGTATTGCTCGATACTCCAACCTTCAGGGGCCCTAGGCGAGGGTGAACTACCTTGAGGCCTCCTCTCTTGCTCCAAGTGACCTTGCACCCTAAAGTCTGTACCAACGCTCCGAAAGGGAGAATGGTTTGTAACTTAGACGCTGCCGCTCCATCAACCGGAGGGGGTACTACCAATGTGCCACCGCTCGTCTTGAACCACTCTTCCTTTGGATCCCCTGCTAGCGTAACACCAACCCTCTCTAGGTCCTTCATTTCCCCTTTAAATGGGACGACGGCGTGCGTTGCACCACTATCTAGAAGAGCCTTCACCTGCACATCTTCATCATAGATGGTGTCAGATTTATCGCCTATCATACTCAGCATCTTCAATTCATGCTCTTGGGCATAGGCACGCAAAGACTCGATCTGAGCGTTTAAGGCCTCTAAGGTGACTGGTGTCCCATGCATTACAGGGCTGACAGGCGAAGATCCCGCATTGCCTGGCGTTGGAGCCGGGCTGATTGGGACTGCGGGTTGCGCTGGCACAGTGGGACTTGGCGCCGCCTGCTGTAGGATCTGAGCAGCGTCAGCTAACATGGACTTTATTTGTTGCTGGGACATTTCCTTCGGTGATGGTACGGCTGTCGCAGCTACGGGTGCATTGCCTGCATTACCTTTCTGGAGCGGGCCCTTAGGGTTCGAGGGTGGTGCCTTATATTTCGCCTTTTCTTCTACCTTCAACCCGGCACGACACTCTGAAGATCTATGCCCTTTGCCTCCGCAGGTTCGACACCGCTGTGCTCTTTCCGCAGCTGGAATTGATCCCCAATTGTGTACAAATGTACAATCAGCTCCCTTTTTGCATCCCCCTACCGTGGTGTAGAAGGAACAGGGCGTCCCTCCTTGCTGTCCCTCTGGCGCGCTACCGGCCTTAGGGTTACCAGGCAATTTGGGATTAGATTTGCCCCCCTTTGGGTTCTTAGGGTTACCTGTGGGGTCTTCTACACCTCGGACCTTTGCTGGTGCGGGGGTTGTTTCTTTGGGCTTCTCTGACTCCTTAGCTCCGGAACGATGCACTATAGCCTCTAGCTCACTCAAGAGCTGCGCATATAGTTGATCTACCTTGCTATCATCAGGGGTGGAGTCGATTTGCAGCGCTGCCCTCGTGAGATTGACCCGAAATGCAACATCTGGATTTGCTTGCAGCACCGCTTTGGTGATGCGTTCAAGGGCCTTGACACGGATAGCGCTGTCGGGGAGGGTTCCACCTAACTCTTTCATGCGATCGCACCATCGGTGCCATCTCCGGAGCAAGTCGACGGTGTCCTTAATGGTGGTCCCGGAGCTAGGTTCTTGAATATGTCTCAAACCTAGCTCCCTCTCATTGAGACCTCCCGGTGCATAAATCACGTACAGCCTAGCGACAACTGGAAGTAATCCCGTGACCCTAGCTGCACTAAGCTCGTCACGAACCGCTGAAGGACTGGCAGTAATGATCATGGTTTCAATGCGTCTCGACACTCGCGCCCATTTAGGTTGCATCACATCAGCGGAAGGTGTTGGCTTCGAGGTGAGCCTAGATATGGCATCAAGTTTAAGGTACCTTGAGTACCATTCTCTCGCTTCGCTCAACACGAGGCCCCAGAGTTCTTCACTAGTATCTGAGATATCACTAAGAGCCGGTTTGCTCGAATGCAACCAATCCGCGAACTGTAGACACGACTCTGGTCCTGTGGCGGGGAGAGGAGGAAGTGAGCTTACTCCTGGCTTTATCACCTCCTGTTTTGCCTGCTTTGGACTGCTCGCAAGGTCTGCTACCACACCTTGTAGTTGTGCCATACCGGTTAGTACAACGTTCAGCGGATCATGGGAACTTCTAGAGGTATCCGGCTGGTTTGCTTCGGTAGGTGCGGCAACAGTGCCTGCTGCGTCAAAATCCAACACTCTGGCTACCGGTGGGTCTGCAGTGGCCTTCGTAGTCATCGAGTTGGCCTGAGCCCCAACTCCAAGGGCTTGGCCGGTTGTGGTCGTGATAGAAGATGGGCGGGGCGGCTCAGGCCAGGAAATATCTTGACCCTCAGGTATTCCCGGGGCCTGAGGTGGCTGCCCTGATGTCAGATGACGATATGAAGGCTGTGGTGGTGGCGGAACTGGAGGAGGTCTCAAATCCACATCGCGATCAGGGGGCGAGATTGGCTTAGGTGAAGCTGCTCCACCAAGAAGATTCCCGAAACCTCTACCAATCCACTCAAGTCTAGAGAACCTTCCAGAACTCGTCGTGACTCCAGGTCTAGGTCCTAGGTCCTGACTGTACATTTGCGAAGAAATCTCTTGCCTCAAAGTCCGGTTCTCGGACATTAAAAGATCTACGCGCGTTCTCAGTTCTCTGTTCTCCTCATCACGCACAGCCATAAATTCTCTCATTTGTCGTCGAACTTCTGCCTGAATATCACTTGAGCTCGTTGACGGCGGTCGCACTCCGGAGGAGGGTGCTTCTGGTCCATACAGATGAGGTGCCATGGCTTGCATCCCATTCAGTCTCTGAAGCGTTTGGTCATCAAGGAGAGGCGTAGCTGGTAACTGCGTAGCTGATGGAGGCCTCCTTGAATCATCGGGGCTACCAGACTGCGCAGATGCAAACCCTTCAACATCCATGGCTGGGTTCTGGGTCAACGGGCCGCCAGGTCCGTGTCCCAAAACAAAGCCTTCAACAGCTGCTGGAATCGATTGCATCGCTTTTGCAACACCCCCCCAAGAACGACGCTCGACCAGATGAACGGGCAGCTTCCTCGGAAGTGTCAACCTGGGCCGTTCGTGGTTGCTCAATCTGTGGTCCCATCAAGAAACCATGCGCGGAAGTCGACGAGGCTGTCATCCTCGAGGATGAGGGGGCTGCCGTATCACTCAAAACGGCAGTGCCTTCCGACGGATGAGGGGGTTGCGCATGAGCTCTCCTCATCTCGCGATTAGTTCCCAACGTCGGAGCCGTAACTGTTTCTCCATCCATGTCCTGAGGACCCTGAGGAGGAGGGGCTGGCACACCGTTGGGTACTTGTTCACGATCTTGTTCATCACGTCGATCGGTCATCACCCGAGCGCCTCTTGGGCTCATAACCTGTTGTTGGTCAGAGCTATTCATCATGACCTCGTTGGGGTTTTCGCTTGATGCCATGGTAGAGGTTCTTCAAGTAGACCACGACTTACTATATGTTCAGTCGGGCAGGATCAATCGGCCATGGGCTTACTACAAGCTTCGAATTTTCAACACACGTCAGCAAGTCACAAATGTGTTAGAAGAATCTGTACACTTCTCGATTTGTGCTTGTTTCTGCACTTGCATGCCTAGTGCCTGTATGCCAATCGGCATGCTGTGTTTGCCTTAAGGCATTCATGACGAAGCTCAGCTTCAATCCTTCTGCCCTCAGGGCTTGAGATAAACATGTCGAAATCAAGATTTGCGGAAGAGGAACTCGACTCTACCTCTGCGGGGTAAAGGAATTCTGCAGGCTTCTATAAGGTATATAGACCTTCTATAAGGCTCCTATAACGGTAACTACCCACCT